ACACATATTTATCTTCATAAGCTCTCTCTGTGAAGTCTGATTCTAGGGCTTTTAGAACATCTGTCGCTGCTGGAATTGGCAGTTCTTTTACTGTGAGCCGATGCACAAAGCTCTGATTTCCTTGTCTGTCTAGGTGAGGGTTTGCTGAGCCTATGATACTCCATCCTAGTTTTGATCTCTGTGCAAACGGTTGATTTTTGTCCCCAATGATAACCTCAAGAGGAGCTAGTGCAGATGGACAGTCATATCCAATCAGGAGCCCTACATCACAGTCTTGAAGGGGTGGTAGCTTATCTGCCAAATGTCTGAGATGAGGCCACAGTAATGCTGTTTCCTTCGTTGGGACGTAAGACTTGTCCACCGGGATAAAGTCACGGCTGTAGGCCTGCTGTACTTGGATGTAGTTCTTAGAGTGCAGTCCTCGAACTTGTAGACCATGGACGTTCTTGCTAGATATGATTGTGTCAATAGCCGTCATAGTACTCAATTTTAGTTTTACTGGTTGGGCATCAACATTCAGTTTGTCAAGTAGATCTTCTAAGACAAACGTTGAGTCACTCTGTGTGTCCAGTATTGCGTACGTAAGTACTTCTCTTTGTGGCTCTTGTATCGAAGACACAAGGACTGGGACGATACTTGAGGTAGCGGAAGCACGTTGTGTTGATGCATGGGATACGACTTTGTGCGTTTCCAAGCTTGCATGGTTTTCTGTGGAAGTGGAGCTATTCGTTGTTGCTTCCACAGGTCTTTGCTTCCTGTCTTCATGCAAGCAGGTTGGGTGACGACGGCTGCATATATTGCATGTGTGTCGCCTCTTACAATCTTTGGTCATGTGACCCTTCCTCAGGCACCCAAAGCAGAGCCGATTTTCACAGATGAATGCCTTTTTGTCTTCACCACTCTTCGCTGCGAAGGTGGGACACTTAGTGATGTTATGAGCTTCACTTTTACAGACGGAGCAAGGTGATTTTGGTTTACTGCCGTTTGTTTCTTGTTTCTCCTGAGCGAAACTTTTTGTTTGTGTATTTGTGTTGAAAGCTTTCGCTCTCTTTGGTGATCTTTCATCTGTGACCTTGAAATTCATCAACAATGGAGAAGCAATAGGGTTACAGGCTATCCGTGCCTCTTTGCTCAGGAACTTTGTGAAGCATGCAAGATCTGGATAGCTTCCGGATGTGTCAAGTTCCTCTACAACAATTCGACTCCACTTGCGCACGATCCATTCTGGTAGTTTTTTGAGCAACTTGTGATTTTCTTCACAATCGTTAAGGATAGCTAGTCCTTTGACATGTGGGATCGCCTCAGTGCAGCCTTGAAGGAAGTCAGCGAACTGTTGTAGTGCTAGTGGGTCGTTTGTGTTGATTTTTGGCCATCTCATAAGCTTATCTCGGAAAGCCCTTTGTATGATGAACGGGTTCCCATATCTGTCTTGTAAGACTTTCCATGCTCCATTGTATGCGCTCTCTGAATCTCGATAAAAGAAACCTTCTACAGCTTTGCGCGCCTCTCCAGCAAGATAATTTTTGAGATAAAACATCTTCTCACTTGGTGGGAGGGGTTTTCTGTCAATAAGAGCTATGAATGACATCTTCCAATCTGTAAACTGTAAAGGGTCACCACTGAAGGTGGTTGGTTCAGGGACCGGCAAGCGGTTCATGCTTAATGAGCTGGCGATTGCTTGGGCTAGACTGACAGACTCTTGGTTCATTGTCACTTCAGGAGCAGCTTGGTGAGGTTGGAATGATGCAGCATCAGGATTTAATCGAGGTCCAGTTTCCGTTCTGTAGCAAGAAGAGTTAGTTTCGTCATTAATCTCCTCATCATGGTTCTCAAAACCTTCAAAATCATCATATGCTCTCACACGAGCTGCTGCTATGGCAACGTCTTTTGCTGCTTGTAACTGCTGCAATTTGGCTCTCTCTTGTTCCAACTGTTGTTGCATTTCCACCTCTTTTTGTTTCATTTCTACTAACATTTTTGCCTCTTTAAGTTTCCATTCACTCTCTAACTTGTGAAGATGTGCTTGCTGTGTTTGGATTTCTTTCATGGCTTTTGATTGTTCCAGCTTAGCCGCAAGCTCTGCTTGTGCATCTACTCTACTGCTGTGGGTACTGGCTGAGCTGGAGTGGTTGCTCAATCTCTCCGGTGACTCCGCTGAGCTTACTGTTTCAGTTTTAGTGTGGCCAAAGACAGACCCATATTCATCTTTGTTTAATGTTTCTCTTACCCTTTCCTTCTCAAGTTGGTCATTATAATCTTGATTAATAGTCTCTAGACGGTTACTTATGAGTCCACAAATGTCTTTTGTTAGCGTAACGCAGGCATCCATTTTCTTTACGATCTCTGGTGTGGTGTTACTGTTACGTAGGATAGGTTCATACTGCTGACCTACGTCATCTTGCTTTGCTTGAATGTCTTGCTGTAATTCATTAAGGTCTTCTGATGAACAGAGGGTTTTTAATTTTTTCCTAGTCTCCCTTGCTACCAGCTTCCAAGAGTCATAGGTCTTGTTAAATGCTTTCTCACGTTTTCTGGTGTCTTGGTCATGCATCTCTTGGCCTTTCTCTGTTAGCTTTCTTTCACGTGAGCTGGATCTGCATGGTGTGTCTTTACGTGACATCTTGTTTGTTTGTGCTGCTGCTTTAAGTCGAGTGTAGCCTTTGATTGTCCTACGCCTGAATTTACACTTGTAAGCTGTAGTTAACTTTTACCACAGAGTAATGTTTATGCCAAGCATTAACAGATTATGGACATCAAAAGGATTTTTGCATAAAACAGTAACAACAAAAATTCACCATTTTTTAGAAGCGTTAGGAACGGAGAATTAGCTCGCAAGTTATTTTGACCTTATAATACCATGTTATTATTTAAGTCACTTCAGTTATGCTGTAAGCTTGCGTGTGTAGAAATGGTCTCTTTTCAACCTTTTGCTCCTTGGCATCCAGTGTCTCTTTTTACATCTCTAGTTGTACCTTAAACATGCTGTCCATTTTAAGTCTTGCCTGGGTGCAGGAGTTGGATGCAAGCGAAGTAAACTGGCTGGTATCAGGTTGGTAGTTGGACCTCGGATGTGATGGCGTCAGCTTCTCACCAGGGATGGCAGGGCTGGTGCAGCGGTGAGTTTTCACTGTAGCTGCCCCTTGGATTTATTGATCAAGACGCAGAGAGTTTCAAACGGGTGTAGATTTATTTCTTCCTCTCAACGTGCACCATGCACCATAAGCACAATGAACACCGTGAAAACTCATTCCGCTCTCCAAGGGTGCTAATCAAATAGTTTCGGCCATCAACTAGCATGCTCTCTAATTCGACACACCTTCACAGTTCGGAGCTCGTTCTTCCGACGACTCGTGAGCACCACATTGTGATGAGAGTAACAGGGAGTTTAGCGCGACAAAAAAAAACATCAGAAGAAGAAAAACGGCGCTTTTCAAAATAAAAGCAGAACAGACCAGGCGACACTGTAGAATTACAATGTCTTATTAACATATATATAACACTAGGAGAATATTAGTGCAATTTATCAGACATTTACACCCTGCTCACTCCAAAGGCCCACTTTAAGGGCTCTGCAATCTGCCCTTCGAAGGGAGTAGGGCACAGGGACGCTCACGAGCAGTAAGCACGTCCCAGCCGGGTCCGTCACTTATTTGGTTCCCCTGGAAACATTTCCGTTGTGGTCTGTGTTATTTGCAGTGCGTATTCTGTATTTGGTTGTGTTGTGAACTTTTGCAGCGCGTTTCTGTATTTGGAGCACACGTGTGTTGTAAAACTGATGAAGATGTTTTTTTTAATTTGCAGGTGTTTTTTTTCTATTTGCACGCGTTTTTTTTCTATTTGCATGTGTTTTTTTTTTCTGTTTGCACGCTTTTTTTTTCTATTTGCACGCGTTTTTTTCTATTTGCATGTGTTTTTTTCTATTTGCACGCATTTTTTTCTATTTGCATGTGTTTGCTTCAGTTGCAGCACGTTGAGCTGTCTCGGCCACCGTACGAATGCTATGTAAATAAATGTAAAAATATGTACAAAACAGGTTTATAAAAATGAAGTGTGGACCTGTTGGATGTTTCTTACTATCACTATTCATACCGTTCAAAAGTTTGGGGTCGGTACGATTTTAAATACTTTTAAAAGAATTCTCTTCTGCTAACCATGGCTGCGCTTATTTGATTAAAAATACAACAAAAATCAGTTATAGTATTAAATATTATTCCAGTGTAAATAAGCTGTTTTCTGTGTGAATATATAGTAAAGTGTAATTTATTCCTGTGATCAAAGCTGAATTTTCAGCATCACCAGTGTCAGTGTCTTCAGTGTCAAATGATCCTTCACAAATCAGTATAATATGAGGATTTGATGCTCAAGAAACATTTATTATTATTATCAATGTAAAAACAGTTGTTGGTCTGTCAGTTGTACAGTTTTTTTTTTTTGGATTCTTTGATGAATAGGAAGTTCAAAAGAACAGCATTTGTTTGAAATACAAGTTATTGATTTCTTTCCTCCAAAAAATAAAAATAAAATTCTCACTGACCCCAAACTTTTGAACGGTAGTGTATGTATTTACATTTTCCTTCAGAATGTTTCTTAATTTAATGGATCTATACATTTATTCAACGTTTTTTAAACCAGAAAAATGTTATTAAATTTAAACAAAAATTAAAACCTCCCTCGCTCACTCACTCACTCACTCATGTTTTATGGGGACTTTCCATTGGCATAATTAATTTTATACTGTATATTCGATCCCCTAATCCTAAACAGCCCTCACAGAAAACATTCTGCATTTTTTTACATTTTCAAAAACACCTTGTGGGGACATTTGGTCCTCACATTCACAACGTATGACAGGACCACACACACACACACATACATGCAGAGAGAGAGAGAGAGAGAGAGAGAGAGAGAGAGAGAGAGAGAGAGAGAGAGAGAGAGAGAGAGAGAGAGAGAGAGAGAGAGAGAGAGAGAGAGAGAGAGATCTGTATATTCATTATCTAAGGTTAACCATTCACTACGGTGCTGTAGATGGCTGAATCATTCTGCTGCCCTGTGTTGGCAGACCTAGAAATAAAAATAATTGTTTCAGTAAAATTGTCACAAACTCATATTCACTTATAGTTAATATTACTTCAAGAAAGACAGTCAAATATGATTAAACATTTCATTTCATTTTATTAGAGGATAACCCCTTGAGATGGAACATCTCATTTTCGAGGGGGTCCTCAAGATAACACCAAACACTTACACATTCGCACACACTAATGCTCTTCTTCACAACCAACCACCTCAACCTGTCCCACCTCTGTCATGTTGCATTATCTTCATGTTGCATTATCTTCATAACTAAGGGTCAGATTACAAAATGTAAGTATGAATAAATATTTTAGTGATGTGTCTCTTGAATGCTCACATTTGAAGGCGTTCTTTAGGTTGAATGTTGACAGATGCATATTGCACTTCATCTTCTTGCAGCACATCTTCTGCTTCCTCTAGGTTTGTGGAGACTGTGGGTGTTTCGGTTTTAGCCTTACAGAAGATGGCACAGAACATATCAACAACGGTCATCTTTTGTTAATGCCCTGCTGAAGAGACCAGCTCAGTTCAGCATAACCAGAATGTTTTTTATGATGAAACTGGTTGACCAAAGGCGGCTTGCTGATTAAGCAAACACAACATGTTGGCGTCATTTCAACAGGGCATACATCTTATGATTTACTGTATAATTTAACACAATCCTAAACATGATAACACTTGTTTTTGTTCTTCTTATGCATGGCATATTTACTCCCTATAGGAGATACATGTACACAATACATTATATTTGTTTAGGTTTTACAAATATCTTTACAGTTGTTTGGTGAGTGCTGTATTGAGAAACCTGGTTTTCTTCTCCTTCCTCCTTTGGTTTGCCACAAGTTTCTGCTTTCCTTTAAAAAAGTAAATGTAGCAGACATGCATTATAAATTGCATAATTTAGCTGATACAAGATCGTGGATGATTTCAGAAAAGGGTTTGATTCTGAGAAAATATTTTACAATAATTATTTATTTTAACAAATAAATAAACGAAATAAACAAACAAATAGGTGCGTGAACTGAATAGTAATCTTTTGGCTATATGCGCAGTCTTTGTGTCGCAAGCCTCACTCACTCGCCCTCGCCAACATAAAACTCTCGGGCAGAAACACATAATGCACTTTCAAAGTCATTTTTATTCTTATGTGTTTTCTGAATTGTGGAAGGTCAGTTAATGTTTCATTCAGACTGACTGAAAGAGTTATAATACATTGGTGTGTGCAAGAAAAAAAAAAGTCCTACCTTCTTATAAGCATCACAGCTGCAATAATGAAACCAAGTGAGATTAAAGACACTACAATAATCAGAACTGTTGGGGACACGGCAACATCTATTGAGGACAAAGGGATAGATATCATTTTCTTTAAAGTCAAAAAGATATAATTTACTTAAAAGTATACACAAATCAGTCATTTTTCAAATATGAATATGATCGTGTAGATATGAAAGTATGTGTAATATGTTTACAGTTCAACCAACCTTCAATGTAAATTCTAAATTCTTCAGATACAGTTGTTTTAAAGTTCCTCAACGAACAAGAGTAATTCCCAGAGTCTTTAGTAGTTACACTGCTGAAGGTGAGGATGGGGTCTGAATGTGTCATCGGTTCATCATTCTTAAACCACTGAACTTCATGTAAATTAGAGCAGTTGAGTGTGCATGTCAGACTCAAAGAGTCTCCTACTATTATGCTTCCATTGTCTCTCGATTTGGTCATTAACACCCTTAAATCTGTCAGAAAACAAGAGAAACAGCCCATAATGAAATTGAGGGATTCTTTTAGAAAACAAAACAGCAACAACAAAAGCATCAAGTATTTTTTTCCCCAGAATAAACCTTTTATATTTACCGTGTGCTGAAATTTCCACTCCAGGATCACCTGTCCAAATTCCGTCTGGCGAATTGGTTATAAATCTGAATTTATACTCTCCAGAATGTGTTTGAGTAATATTACTGATCAAAAGAGAACAATTTGAAGTTTTATCTCCAATGTATTGAAAGTTGCTTTGATTATTGTTGGCACCACTGTCATAAACATATGGCATATTTTCACAGACATCATGGTTTGAACTCATTGAACACCACAGCACTCGCTCTACTCCCACAGGTGGATATGTAAATGAACAGGCAATAGTGACATTGGATCCCCTCACAGCACAGATCGGAGGAGGATAAATCACTTTCCACTTATTATTACTGAGAACACCTGGAGCACAAAACACTTCATTTAATTAGAGAATTTGTTACAATGGATAGTTAAAATTGAGGCAATCTATTATAGATATTATCTATTGTGAAATTTGTAAGAAAATCATTTACATAATGAATCAATAATATGATATGGTAAGATTCAAAGGTCTGAGACCACATTGAAATTTTTTTTTTTTTTTTTTTTTCATTTAATCCTGGAAATAAACAAAGAAAAAAAAGTAAAATACAGAAAAGTTACAGCATAAATAAGTCATATTTAAGATTTTGAACTATTTGTGTCACTATAATAAAAACAAAACAATGTGATCTCCATTGTATGTATACAATAAATATTCAGTTTATGCAATCTAATATGATTTATATCAGATAATTAGAGTAGAAATGAACAAGAGACAACATTTACAAAAGACATAAGAAAATGTTTTCTTACCAGGCAAGAAAAGTAGACCTACAAAAATTTGTAGCATTTCAATTCACTGTTTCTGTTATTTGGCTTAAAGAAGATGTTTTCATATCACTGACAAAAGACTGAATGAAAGAAGAAGTTGCACAGACAAACACTGCATTTGCGTTTCCTTCTTAATGTCCTTAATACTGATGGCCCCACTTAACAAAACAAAAAACGAAAAAAAGGCAAGCGAGAAAACGATTCTCTGAAAGAGGAAAGGGAAAGCATTTTAAAACTTTTAAATTTAAACATATAAAACTTTCTTTCACTCAAGTATTGTATGCTTTGGTTTTATATTTTGTAGTGCACTGTAAACCCTAATAAGTTGATAACTTGATTGATAAGGCCAGCTGCATAAAATAAAATGTTCCAGTGTATATATTGTTGCATTTACTTATATTAAACAAGCAATAAAACATTAAAACAAGTTACTGCTTCACATCAACAGCTTTATTAAGATTTGATCTCTTACATTTAATAGCTGAACTTACATAAAATATAGTAATTTAACACCATAGATCAGTAATTTGATGCATTAAGATATCAAATTATGGAATGATGTAGGCTTAGATAAAATAATAATGCAAGACAAATCAAAATATGTATCATGCACATTGGTCTACAACAATGCAATTGCACATTCATTAAATTCCCTCCAATTAGTTTTTAAAGTATTAAAACCTGTAAAGCTTCACCAGAGCGCAGGCGCTCTGAAGCGTTTTTTTTTTTTATAGTTCAAAGTTACTATCATATTTAATGTTATTACCTTGACAAACTATAAAAAGATATCAAGTTTCTCAAGTACTCAAGTTTCTCAAGTTTCAGTATTTGACCACTATTGTATTCTGAGAAACTTATAGTGACAGTTATGTCTTAATTTGTGTCAGGAGTTATGAAATTAAAAAATGAGTCGTTACCTTTAATATGAATTATGAGCGTCAGGCGGTCTCATTCAGAAAAAAACTCCTGTGCGATCGTCATGACAGCGCTTGACAAAACAACGTCCCTCAGGCCTTTTAGCTCAAACATGTGCAGATTTGGAGAAATATTGATAGATTCTCATAGGTTTACATCAGATTTCTATAGACAGGAATAATATTTATTGAATTTATACCCAAATGCGTCGATGTAATCATTATGAGCGCTGTATACTCTGATGTACTGTGTTTTCAATTCATCCCAGTAGCCCGAGGGCGCTGTGTGCACATGTTAAGTCCATATATGGATCACATGAAGAAGAGCCATAATCATGTGACATTCCAGGAAGTCCTGACCATAGACATAAAAAATACATAGGCTGTGTCCGAAATCTCCACTCAAACCACTACTCCCTAACCCCTATGTAGGGGGTAGGGAGTAGAGGACTATATAGTGAGCTCACCAGCATAATAGAAACACCACTTTCGGACACTACTCGATCGTCTCTCGGCGCCGTTGATTAAACGCGCCATCATCTGTCAGCTGGTGCCGAGCCAGCTCTGGGCTAAATAGATTTTTTTTTTTTATAAATACATTACATTATATTGAGCTTATTTCTCCAAAATTGTAAAATTAAAAGTCATTTCTTGCCGTTTCTGTTATAATGCGTTACTCCACACATGATTATAACTTATAAACATAAATAAAATTAATACACATATTTCATATATTTTCATTTTCGCGCCACACCGTTTTCTCTTGCCTGTCGACATTAGAAGAAAAAAAACAGATCTACGTTATCAAATATCTTGCTCATAATACTCTTAATAAAACAGCTTTTACTCTGTGGAGATGCCACTCAATATTTATCTTTTTTGTTTGTTTGTTCTCGTGATTCAGAAGATTTTGCGGATTAGCAAAAGAAACAGGATTTCAAGACACAGAAAACGACGTGCTGTTCTTGCTACGCTAGCGAGACGTCGTCAAATTGTAAGTTAAAGATGAAGATGATGCTGATAGGTCTTTTCCATGGGCTGTGTCCGAAATCTCCCACTACTCACTATATAGTGGACTATATAGTGAGCTCACCATTTTGTAGAGCTGTCCGAATGTATAGTGATGATTATTATACCCTATATAGTCCACTCAATGTATCCCAGAATGCATTTTGAAAAGTAGTGTACAACCGATGGTCACTAACCCAAGCCCTACATACCATCATGCATTGCGCTGATCGTAAAAGACCTATCAGCATCATCTTCATCTTTAACTTACAATTTGACGACGTCTCGCAAGCGTAGCAAGAACAGCACGTCGTTTTCTGTGTCTAGAAATCCTGTTTCTTTTGCTAATCCGCAAAATCTTCTGAGTCACGAGAACAAACAAACAAAAAAGATAAATATTGAGTGGCATCTCCACAGAGTCTGAAAGCTGTTTTATTAAGAGTATTATGAGCAAGATATTTGATAACGTAGATCTGTTTTTTTCCCCTAATGTCGACAGGCAAGAGAAAACGGTGTGGCGTGAAAAAGAAAATATATGAAATATGTGTATTAATTTTATTTATGTTTATAACATAAATAAAACAGCACTACAAAATGGTCAGCAGCCATATCACCCTGTAGCCCAAGACTGGTTGCCCACTGAAGCTAAGCAGGGCTGAGCCTGGTTAGTACCTGGATGGGAGACCTTCTGAGAAAACCAGGTTGCTGCTGGAAGAGGTGTTAGTGAGGCCAGCAGGGGGTGCTCACCCTGTGGTCTGTGTGGGTCCTAATGCCCCAGTATAGTGATGGGGACACTATACTGTCAAAGAGCACCGTCCTTCGGATGAGACGTTAAACCGAGGTCCTGACTCTCTGTGGTCATTAAAAATCCCAGGATGTCTTTCGAAAGACTAGGGGTGTAACCCCGGCATCCTGGCCAAATTTGCCCAGTGGCCTCTGTCCATCATGGCCTCCTAATCATCCCCATATATATATATACACTGATTGGCTTCATCACTCTGTCTCCTCTCCACCAGTAAGCTGGTGTGTGGTGAGCGTTCTGGCGCAATATGGCTGCCGTCGCATCATCCAAGTGGATGCTGCACATTGGTGGTGGTTGAGGAGATTCCCCCTTCCATGTGAAGCGCTTTGAGTGCCTAGAAAAGCGCTATATAAATGTAATGAATTATTATTATTATAAGTTATAATCATGTGTGGAGTAATGCATTATAACAGAAACGGCCAGAAATGACTTTTAATTTTACAATTTTGGAGAAATAAGCTCAATATAATGTAATGTATTTATATAAAAAAACAACACAGTCTCACTCCCTACTCGTCAAATGTCTGACGCATGGTCAAGGACCCCTGGCGTCAAGTTTCAACGAAAAAAGTATACCCTTGACGTTGTTTTTCGACGCGGGGGTCCGTCATATAGACATTCATGTTATCCCTCATCGGCTGCGTTCCAGTCCAAAATTGTCATGCCCTTCACTCGCTAACTTCCCTCCGTCTCGTTCACTCGGATATACGTTATTGCTTACGTTGCACGAGTGCCCACTACTGGCGGAAACCGCAATGAGCTGAACTGAAACGTCCTAAACACTTGATCACTTTGAATCAGCTATGAGTTGATTTATTATTTACTTTTTTTCCAGCATCCACATGTATATAGGTGTGTTTGGGTTATTTTAAAATAAATAAATAAATCATAATTAATATATCATAGAGTGTTTGTTGTGGTGGTGATTAGACGATCTGTGGTTACGTCACAATCGTACTGCATTGTGGGACATTTAGATGCCTGAAGTGTTCATATGAAGTGGACTCGCTCCCTCGGTCTAAATCGAGGGAACGAGTGTCTGTCCATATAAACTTCCCTCGTTCACTTCACGAAGTGGAACGCACTTCAAAATGGCGGCAGGGATTCCCCCGAGGGGAAGTGCTTAGGGAAGTTCGCAAGTGCGTGTCTAAAAGTGGACTGGAACGCAGCTCTAGTCGAATATAGACGAAAGGAAATCAACTAACGGTGATGCCGACGCTGATGACGTCACTTTATGCGACTATTGCAACCCAGTCTCACCAGGGGGGTAATCCATCAGCCGGAAGTTGAAGCCTAGCGGGAGCCGCCATTGTAGCAGACCATCACCTGCTGTTAGCATCCCATTGACTCCCATTCATTTTGGCGCCACTTTGACAGCGAATAACTTTACATCTGAGGCGTTTAAAGACTCCATTTGTCCATGATTTATTTCTAGAAAAACACGACAATGTATAAAAGGCTCCAATACCTTGTATCTTACGTTATGGCCCCGTAGAAGCAGTTTTTTTTAAAATAGGCTAAAGATTGCGTCATAACCACGGGACTTTCTGTCGCACAATAGAGACATTACCGTATAGACAGGAGAAGAAGCTCGCAGGCAATCTTTTACTGTCTATGAGGCAATCGGGGGGACATGGAGGCACAAAGTCAAGGTAGGAGCCCATAAATAGAGACTCCATAAAAGCAATGGGACAAAATATTTCAACAAAGTTTTTGAGGAATTAGGTGATTCAGATTTGTCTTGGCACAGCTACTAGAAGATTTACAACTGTCAGACTGTCGTCAAGCTCAGTTTGAGCCTGCGCAGTCGCTCAGACATCAGACAGGAAGTGCAATAATCGGGCTTCAGTCTTCTCCGTTGAAATCAACGGGGTCGCTCTGTCCATTTCTTTTACTGTCTATGAGTCTCACGGCAATTCATGATATGGTCACGTAATTTAATCTATTGATTCGTGACACGGACACGTTTATTTAGTTATATCAGCACGTTTTTTAAACTAATGTATTTCAATGGGAATCATCTTTCGTGATCACAGCACGATTATTTCTGCCTGTCAGGCTGCAGCAGAGAAGCTGTTTAATCAACATTTATTCACGAGATCTTATCATGGTATGTATTTCTTTTAATGTTATTATTTCGGTCTTATTGCCAGGGAAGCTTGCTTTGCTGTTTATTGATATTTTTTTAAATTATATTTTATCAATAGGAAATCGCGCTGAAGAAGTCTCATTCCGGACACATCGCGATATTTGGCATTAGGTCACGTGTGCCAGATGTTGGTAAGTATTCTATCCTAACTGTCCTAATAATGTTTGATATAGACTAATGTATTTTCTGTTTGTCGATATTAATCAGATTAGCTTAAGTTAGGGATGGGGAAATGAAGCCTCGTGAATCAATGAGGCTTTCCCCTGACTGTTCCCGGGAAAAGATTCAAAGCTTCGAGAGTGTCGAGAACATGCCATCTGGTGCTTATTTAAAATAAAGCAGCCAGAAGCCTGTGTTAAAAGCTCTGTCAGATGAAGCAACCACAACATACTCCATAATTTCAACGTTATGTGTAGAAATAAAAAGCCTTAAACATTTGTGTTTGATTTGTCCATTAATAAATAAATTATTTTACCCATTAAATTGTGACAATAAAATATAAAATGAGCATATGATTTAAAGCTCCAGTCCGTAACTTTTTTAAGTTAAAAATAATCCAAAATAATTATATAAAAAAAAAACATATTCTGCCAGTGGTCAAAACTATCTGCTTGCCATAGCTAGATTCAAAACGGTTAGCTTGTAATAATGATTTTAATTCCAGTGGTACTGGTGGGTTTCCGCGGGAAATTCGAGCATGTCTTTGCGTCATTACGTCACACCCGTACACATAAAGAAGGAGTTTCGGCTAGCCGGCTATACTGCGCGTGACGAGATGTTTAGATGTATAGGCTTTTCTCGCAGCACTTAACATAATTAAACTTATGGCATCCAGAAAGATCCAAACAACAATCATCAGTGTTAACTGGAGATTCAGCAGTTATAAAACCCAAAAGACTTCGTACTTCGGATTTAAGGTGGCTACTAGAGAAAGAGAAAGAAACCGTCTCATGCGAACACAAGGATTTAAACATCGGCGGGGCTTTTGAAAAGTGCGTGAACTCCGTGTTTTGAAGGGGTTCAAAACGGAAGAAGAGACGGCCTTTTTCTGCTGAACAAGTAAGACACTTCAATAGTTCAATTGTGTAACATTACGTTTTCTTAATTCACACAGTTATGGAGTTTCCTTTGTTGTGCCTTTCTCGTTTTGCTATTATGGAGAATATGAATTCTGAACTACACAGGTAACCATAAAACACATTAAATTTAACATTAGTCACGCAATACTGATGTTGTTAACATGAACAATTTGAGAACAAAGTAGGCTATAATTTGCACAGTTGCTGTAAATCGCGTTGATTAAATCTAACGAAGCTTATCATTTCAAATGCGTTTTCCCCCTTAGTTGGTCAGAACAAAAATGGATTTTACTTACTTGTTCAGAAGACATTTTCTTATGAAAATTCTTATGTTGGTCAAACTTTCAAAAAGTGAATCTGTGATTCTGTATGACAGTATCCACACAGCACGGTGACTGACAGCAGCACTCGCCTCAAAGCACTGTGTTCATCCGCGCTGTTTCATGCCGATTTACAACCCACGTAAAGATGATAATTCCGCGAATCACTGCAGTTACAG